CACATTTTCACTTCACCTTTTCCCCTCCATTACACCCAGTGAAGAGCAGGTAATTTTATTTATCCATTCATCTAATGACACAATTCAAACCAAACTCTCGCATAACTTTTGCCACGCTAAATTACCTTTACCTTAAATGTTTCTACTTCCTACAAATGATTTCAGCTTATTTTCTATTTGTTTTTGTATTTATTTTCTTATTTCAATTGCGCTTGCATTGTAACTGCTGCTAATGGCATGGCATATAACTTATTTTGCTTTTGCTCCCATTTATAATTGTATAATTGTGGTTTAATGCCTCATAATTTTATAGCCATGACGTTGGTTTCTGCTGTAGCTGTTTGCCAAAAACGATTGATTGACACATTAGATAGTTAAATTGTAATTTGCATACCCAATGAAGGTATAATTTTATAATTGTTAATGAAATTGCTATTTGTGTGGCAAGATACAAGTCGACTTAGTATTTGTCGTTGGCAAAAACATTATTACTAGTTTTTTTAATCTCTAAAAATCGAAGTTAAAATGATTTTATATTTTCTTAAACAAAACCTCATTTAATTTAGTTTTAGTTAGGAAATTACAAAAAAAAAAAAACTCAATATCGAAATATAATTTATTTCTATGTAATTTCGAAATTTCGAAATCACGACCGATACAATATTTTCTGAAGCGAAAACTACTCAATGAATTTGCTTTACTAAGAAAAACATAAAATATTGCCAATTATTGGAATTTTGAATTTTCGAAATTGTGAGCAATTTAATATTTTCCTAAACAAAACAAACAAAAACACATCTCGATACTAAAATATAAAATATTTTTTGATTCTAATTTAAATTTTTGAAATCATATGCGATTAATATTTACTTGGCAAAACTTGCTCACTTAATTTACTTTCATTTGGGAAATTAAAAAAAAATATATCGGTACTAAGAAAAATTAAAAATATTTCTAAACTCTGGAATTTCGAATATTCGAAGACAAGGGTGATTCAATATTTTGTGAAAAAATATTTTAATATTTGCTTAAATTTCAGTTCATCTTTTAAAAATTTTGTTTATCAGAACAATCCAGGTTCGTTACTTAAGTCTTTTGTTTTTCAGGACAATCCGAATCTGTTTCTTAAGTCTTTAATACATCAATAGCGAGTTCGTTACTTACGTTTATCGTTATCAATATGATGAGAGTTCGTTTCTTTAGTCTTTAGTACACCAATACGATGCAAGTTCGTTTCTTTGGTCTTTGGTTCATCAGACCAACTGAAGTTCGTTTCTTAAGTCTTTTTGTTTTGATAAGGGATATTCGAGTTCGTTTCTCAAGGCTTTAGTACATATATATGATGGGAGTTCGTTACTTAAGTCTTTCAATCCCAGCAAAAACACAAAATAACCGATTCGTTATTTCTAATTAATTTCAGCCAATTAACTGCGAAAACACGTGAACGTACTGCCGAACTGCATGAAACCTCAACAGAAAGCAAAAGTTTGCGCCAACAAATTGCTGCACTGAAAATCAGCCGAGACGAAGCTATTGCGGAAAATGGGTAAGTCGAATGCGCTATAAGCACAAGTAACTCATTTTTGACTATTTAAAGTTTAAAGTTGAACGTGTATATATGCACATACTATGCATATATACCTGTGTCTATATGTACCTATGTATATACATATGTATGTATGCATGTCTAGGCGTGATGTTTTATAATTTTTGGCTGATTATTATGAGAAAATTAGCCATCAGCAGGTTTTATAGTGCAAATCATTACAAATATTACGTCACTTTGGGCGTAAAAGGTCGTATACTATTTCTTACACTTTTTACCGTTATTTATTTTGCAACTATTTTGCGTCGGTGTGTAAATGATTTTCTTGCAACAATCACTGCTAACATGATTAACTTTGTCTCAATACCGGTGTGGCTAATGCGATTTCCTATTATTTTGTCTTTTTTCAGTCGACTGTCGAACGAATTGGCCGAGCGACAAGCTGAGATTTTGACACTTAAGAAAAAACTGAAAGACTCCGATTTCGAAATCGAACAATTGAAACAGCAATTGCGTCAATATGTAGCGGAGGTGAAGAAAGCAGAGGATTTGTTAACGCATAAGGTATGCTATATACATATGTAGATATATAATATAATATATTGCAATGCATAGAAGGGTTTACTTTGGACTCACCTCACAATAATGCAAAATATTTATAACGCGCTTTAAAATTATTTTTCATAAAAGTGTACTACTTCTAATGTAAAGAGTGCGGTTAAAGTTTTGATAGTTAAGACGGTGACAAGTAGGGTTCATATACAACCGCAACAAAATTTAAGATTATAAAATTATTTTTTCTAAGAATGATTGTTCTAGACAGCTAATGAAAATTTTTGGATAATAATTCTAATATAAGGCATAGTAAAAATAAAGCTTTTACTGGAACGATGTATACGCAAAGAAAATAGCGCGTAATTGAATATTTCTGTATCAGGATATTAAACAATATACATATTAGGTCAAGTAAAAAGTTCGTTCGGTTTTTATCTAAGAGATGGCGTTATTGTCCATAGTACTAGTGTTACGTGTCGCATCATGTCATACTATACGGCGCTGAAAACGTGTTTATTCGCGCTAAAAGTTTGTCTTTGACAGTTTTTCGATTGATTTACTCAGTTCGTTGTGAGCGCTCGTCAAAGATGGACACCAACAAAGAGAAAATTCGCTATATTTTACAATTTTTTTCGATCAAAGCGAAAAAGCAGCCAAAGCGGCTGAAAACATTAATTTAGTTTATGGGCCCGATACTGTAAACGAACGTGTAGCACAAAAGTGATTTGCTAGGTTCCGTTCCGGCAATTTCGATGTCAAAGATGCACCACGCGTCGGGAGGCCTGTCGTCGAAAATTGCGATAAAATAATGGAAATAGTGGAAACAGACCGTCACGTGAGCACTTATTTAATTTCCGAGGAACTAAAGATAAGCCAGTAAACCGTTTGGAACCATTTGCATAACCTTGAATTCAAAAAGAAGCTCGATGTTTGGGTACCACACGAACTAACGCAAAAAACATGATGGACCGAATTTCCATCTGCAAATCGCTGCATAATCGCAACAAAATCGACCCGTTTCTGAAGCGGATTGTGACTGGCGATGAAAATTGGGTCACTTATGACAACATCGAGTGCAAACGGTCGTGGTCAAAGCTGGGGGAAGCGGCCCAGATGGTGGCTAAGACCTGATTGACGGCCAGGAAGGTTTTGCTGTGTGTTTGGTGGGATGGGCAAGGAATCATCTACTGCGAGCTGCTCCCCTATGGCCAAACGCTCAATTCGGCCCTCTACTGCCAACAACTGGACCGCTTGAAGGCAGCACTCATCCAGAAGAGGCCATCTTTGATCAACAGAGGCCGAATTGTGTTCCATCAGGACAACGCCAGGCCACACACGTCTTTGGTGACTCGCCAGAAGCTCCTGGAGCTCGGATGGGAGGTTCTAATGCACCCACCTTATAGTCCGAACCTGGCACCAAGTGATTACCATCTTTTCCTGTCCATGGCGAACGCGCTTAATGGTGAGAAATTGGCCTCAAGAGAGGCCTGTGAAAATTAGTTCTCCGAGTTTTTTGGCAATATGGACGCAGTCTTCCACGAGAGGGGTATAATGAAGTTGGCATCTCGTTGGCAACAAGTTTACGAACAAAACGGCGCATATATAAATGTACACAAAGTTATCATCTTTTGAAAAATCAATAAAAAACCAAACGAACTTTTTATTTTACCTAATATTTTCAGCCGCCTGGCTTGCCTTTTGACTTTATCGATGAACAATTTTCAAAAATGGGGCGTATTTTCTGTTTGGAAAAATAATGGTTCGCTTTTTACTAGATATTCTATATCATATTGTTATGTATTGATATATATATACAATTTTTATTTTTATGTATTTTCTAAATTTTCATGCATTTCTATTTAGGAAAAAGAACGCGAGGAAATGCTCGAGCATTATCGCAGCCTGTCACATGACGCTGTCATTTTAGAGGGCAATAATCAGAGTCTAGAAGTTGAAGCAGCCGAGCAAAAGTAAGTTCAAACTTTCATAACATTAAAGCTCTGAAATTTGTTGCTTTTCACATGTCTACTAACCTAACGAGTAGTTAATTGACTAAATTTCTACATACTTCCTCTTCTCTACATTATCTTGAAAATCTGCCTGCTTGACTTGCGTAGATGTTGTTGTTGCTGTGCGCGACATTTACACTAATTATTTGATCTTATCGTATGTATGTGCAATAGATATGTATGTAACGGCAAAAGGCATTTGAATAGCTCTCTTCTTAGCAGTATGTAGTTTTTGTTATCTTGATTTACGCACACATAGTCGTAACGTAGTACTGCCATGGTTACAATAAGAAAAAGAAAAAAAATAAACATGATGAAAGAATTTACCGCTATTAACCCCGTTTTCGTTAAAGACGACAAATTACCGAATTAGAAGATGAAATAAATGCGTTGAAGAAGGAAATTTGCACGCGCAATAGACTTATCGAACAGCTGGAGGATAAAGTATGTAAAATGTTACATTATATATTTAAGTATTTGTATGCTTTATTAAATATTTATTATTGTTATTTTTTCTCAGCTAACAACGCTAAACGCACAAAATGCCAAATTAGAGCGTGAACTTCAAGATGTCTTAGATGAACAACACCTGCTGAAGGTTGATTTGGCTGCGCGTAAGCAACTTTGCGATAAGCTGGATATAGAGCGCGACAAACTAAATGCCGAATTATCTGAACTGAATGAGATAAAGCGCAAGGTAGGCACACACAACTAAATTACAAATAAAAACACTTTCGCTACAACCTCTTCTTCCAGCTTGAACGTGACAATGAAAAGTTGCGCGCGGATTTGGAAAAATCCTCTAATGGTCAGAAAGTCTCCTCCGAAACGCTCGAAGAATTATTGACGAAAACGCGACGTGATCTGGAAGAGCAAATAAAAGTCGATAGTAAATTGAGTCAGGAATTGTTGCGACAACGACAGCAAAACGACGATTTATTGGTGTGTATAACAAATAATTTTCACTAAACAAATAACTAATAAATGCTTGTCTTTGCAACATTACAGCGTGAGTTAGATGCCGAACGGCAGCGGCGTCATCAACAAGAAACGCTGGCGCAGGAATATCATATACAAAATCAGGAACTGCGGCACAATCTCACCGACGATCGTTTCCGTCAGGCGCGTTCACGTGATCAAAGTCCACGCTATCCATCGCAGACGTTGTAAGCATCGTTCTCTTTTGGGTCAGCAATTGTACTTAACAATTTGAAAATGCATTTCACTTTTGTTCCGTTTTTACTCTTAAATAATTTTTATAAAATGTCTTGCGTATTTCTTTGTTTTCTTGCTTTTTTGCTTTTTGTTTTTAGTACAAACAAAAAAATTATAATAATAAAGTGTGAACAAGCACATAAACTGAGCAAACTATACGCAGATTTCATAAAACAAAAACAAAAAACAATTACAAAACAAATCATCAAATCTCAGCTATACACATACATACATACATAAGTTAGTGGTGTAGTAAAAAAGTACACTAGTGCGCAAACTTCAAAAATTTGCCACATCGGGACAACCGAAATTATAACAAATCACCATCATTCATTGAACTCATCATCATCATCCTCAATTTCGACACAATCTTCTGGCAGTCGTAATCGAAAATCGGGATAGTAAAGTGTCACCATGTTTAGATAAGTTTTGAACATACATGGACAGCCAGTAAATGCCGGTATCTGCTGGTATTCGCCACCATAAGCGAAACTTAGGCGTCCTGTGAATTATGAAATATATAAACTGGTTGTGAATTATGTTGGTAAGTAGAACTTAAATTTAATTAAGACAGTAGTTAATTGAAAAATATGCAAAATATGCTGAGAATCCATAGAGTAGAAGTTGATCAATGTGATGTGTGGGATCATATGTTATTGTATATTTGTACATATTTATCGACTTATAGTTCCGATGTGAAAAATTAGAAATAAAAAAGGAAGTCAAAATAATGTAAGTAAGTGAGAAAGAATTTAAAAATTTTGTTACGAATTTTCACTTATGGATGTCTATGGATTTGAAGTTTGAATTCGAATAGCCCAAAAAGATTATATATAATATTTGAGGGCGATGCGATAAGCAAATAGCCGCACCGCCCGCTGGCGCCACTACAGCTAGAAAAGTTTAATATCGTCTGAAACATTATCGTAGACAACTAGAGCCGAATCGGACGAAATTTTGTTTTATGGGCGTGTCTGCAGGTTATAGATGGAAAGAAAAAGAGCATTACTGAACGGTGATTCGATACTATTTGTAAGAGAAATCGAGCAGTGAAAGTACGATGACGACTGTCAAAAATTTAATGAGGTGCAGCGTGGTCGCACGTCGGTTTCTGATGCGCCACGTTTAAGTGCGCTGAAAATCGCTGCTACAGGCAACTGTGTGAAAAAAGTTTACGAACTCGTATTAACAAATAACGATTGAAGTAACGCCATATAGCTTAGTCAGTAGGCATCTTAAAAGACTGGGTGGGTCATATTTTACATAAAATATTCAGTACGAGTAAAGCTGTTAGGGTGATAAATATAGCGTTTGTGCGTCGTTTTGTGACCGTTAAGAAAACTTGGATCCACTGGTACACATTAGAGACGAAGGAACAGCCGGAATAGTGTATTTCACCCGACAAACCTCTAACAAAGAAAGTGAAGACTGTACTATCAGTTAGAAAGGTGTTGGCCAAATTTTTCTGTGATTTACAAGATGTTGTCGATATTGAGTACTTAAATAAGGGCAAAATGGTCACAGCGCTCTGTGGCGAATTATTTGCCGATTCGACAACGAAACAATGGTCTTATTCGGCAAGGAAAGATATGCTTTTCCATCATTCCATCATTACAACCCACCGACTTACAACTCTGGCGTGGCCAAGGCTAAATTTGTCAAATTAGGCTACGAACTGCAGCGTCATTCGTTTTAATCTCGAGATTTGAACCCGTGCTACCTCTTTTTGTCATTCGCCGGGCATAAATTTGAGTCAAATGATTATGTTATCGCCCCCACGGAGATGTCTTGAAAACGTGTTTGTTTAGGCGAGTCAAAGCAGTTGGAGCATCTATGAATGAAGTGTACAGAGTTAAAAGGAAACTATGTTGTCAAACTAATTTTCACAAATTTTCGCTTTTCTTTTGTGGGCTAAATACTTATCGGACCGCACCGCTGACGTATAGTAGTCAATGTCGATTAACTCACTTCTTGGCGTATAGTCGCGCATAGAATCTGTTACATCATTTTGCAGGTTCACCGCTATGAAAAAAGTAGCAAATTAGTAATGCACTTAATAAAAGAAATATGTTAAAATACCTTCATCTGGAGCATAGCAGGCAGGGTCGCAGTTGCTGTACTGCTCCATAAACTGCACACGCGTCTGCGGCTTGTACTGTGGCAGTTCTTGCGCACATCTATCTTCCTCTTCCGGCATTTCTTGATGCGGCGGCATTGTGGCATTAAACCTTGGCGTTCTGCGTTCCGCGTAGTTTTGAAAGCGCGGACTTGTTTGTACCGTTTGCAAGAACTTCATTGGTCCATCTGGCCAAGGTGCCATATTGCAACTACTTACTGGTTGGCCCGGTATAAATTTTTCATCCTGCTGCCATGGTAACAAATAGTTATTCTCATCTGTACATTGAGTAGGTGATTTGTGTTTTTGTTGCGCATAGAAAATTTGTCTTTTCTCCGAATTTATTTCTACTTTACCACACCACTGTTCATCATTTTTTGGTTGCACCTTTTCATCATTCTCATTGTTTTCTTCGCATAGAAACTCATACTTCTTTTTCGTACTATCCGGACTTGAGCGAGGCGATTTATTATTTCGACGCGAGGAGTCACATGTGCATATAGATGGCGCAGGAGAATTCGTCGCTCCATCCGCATATATTTCACTGCATTCTTTCGGAAGTGGCACATACTGCGGTGCACAGCGTTCTTCCTTTTGTTCAATAATTGTTGCGGAGTACTGTGTTCCGGTCGAGCGCAATGTTATGCAGCTTTTCGATAAATTTTGTTGAGGTAATGGTTTATAATTGGCCGCTGCGGCGTCTGACTGTAGCGCTACGGCCATATGGGAGTTAGTAGCTAATTGGCGTACCGGCGAATGTTCGTATTGATCGCCTAGCTTCTCGTAAGGAATTTCACTACCACTTTCCGCTGGACATAAACATCGGCGTGGAGACGGTGATGGCGAAGTTGCCTGTGTAGTACATGGCTTACACATATAAACATCGCCGGCGTTCGCAACACAGTTGCCACGTAGACTGGTCCTCTTAGCACAATCGTCTTCAGTTGGAGGAAAACATGCGGTACCGTAATCGGTGCATAATGCTCGTGGTTTCATATAAATTTTTGGCGTCTCAAGGCTTGGAAAGGGACTTAGTGGACTTGCAGACCCACCCATGACGCCAGCTGTGTCTGATCTAGCAAAGCCTCCACCTTTTACCGTACCATCATAGATGTCTTGTTTTCTAACCGGACTACTTCTTATTTGTTCTGGCTGGCTGCGACTATCCAACTGTCGCAGTTTGTCATGGGGTTTGTACTGTGAAGATCCTAAGTGTTCTGGTTCCTGCGGCATAACCAACTGCCCCAATTTATCACGATCTTTATACTTTGGAGATCTTAATTGTTCTGGTTCCTGCGACATTTCACCTTCAATGGCTAATTTAGCCTGCTCGCGTAAGCTAATTACGGCGCTTTCCCCTAAGCATATTATTATAACAGATTATTTTAAACGTAGCAACTATAAAAAAAGAGTTACCTCTTCCACTCGGTGCACTTCTACCGCTTTCGTCTGTATCTTCAATTTTAATTTCTGGTACTGGTGATATATTTTCAAATATCTCTTCACTTCCAGTAAATGCTCTATCAGTACCAGGTGCCTTTCCCATACGTGGAGTGCTAGCCTTGGGGCTATCAGCTCTTTTATTACTGGCTGAACCCTCAGCCTTAATGGCCTTACTGTCTGTTTTATGACTCAACTCACCTATATGCAAACGGTCTGTCATTTCTGTATCTGCTTTGAATTTCATTTCTGCGTCCGAAATGTCTGGTTTTTTAGTTGAGAAGCCTAAATCTGTTAGTTGTTCATTCTGCATTAAAGTATCGTCTCTCTCATTGTAATCATCTTCCTTTTTAAATTTTATATCACTTGTTTGTTGGGGATCCTTCATAACTCTCTGGTCTGAATCACTTATATTGTCTCTTGTATACTTTTTTTCACGCTTTCCATACTCAACACGGGAGTGAGAGGGCGAAAATCCTTCAAATTTTACGTTATCGTCCGGTCCCAAGTCCCGAGCCAAATGAGTTTTCACATCAGCAGTATAAGCAAGAGGGTCGTGAATCCTACGTGACGGACTCTGGGGTGATGTTGTACTATGCGGTTCATAGCGTGCCGAACGTGGTGTTTCATCTGGAGTGTAAGTTCTACTCGGCATTTGCGCAGACCTTGGTTCATCATAAACTTTACGCGGTAGACCACGAGGGTCATACGTTTGATCTGATTTAATACCACGCTCATGGTCACGTGCGGAACGAGGTGTGCTCGACGTGAATTTACGTTCATAAGTGTCATCTTGCGAAATGTTTGAGTCACGTCTTTCACGTTGCCTTGGCGAAACATAGTCGCTTGGCGACCGCCGCTCATCGTAAGTTCGCCCATTGCTCCTCACAGTATCTTGCTTTACAACAGGTCTGTAGCCGTCATCTAATCTGGGTTTTTGTTCAAGTCCATATGCTCTAAATACTTCTGATTTCTCTTTATCATACGATTCACGTTGCCTATTGTCGCGCCCAATTCTAGGTTGTCCTTCTCGTGCAGTGCCGCTAACAGTTCGTTCTCTTTCATATGATCCACCTGGTCTACCACTAAGCCTCGGCGGTTTTTCTCGTTGTATACGCCGTCCACGTTCGGGGCTTTGAGATGGCGGCAGGTCTCGCACTGTATTTTTTTGTACCGGCATTATGTCATAGCTTCGCTGAGGTGTCACCTGGAAAAAATCTCTATAACCTCCCATATATTGCGGTTCAGTGGGTTCCTGTATGAGTTTAGGTTCATCACCAGCATAGGTATCACCAACACGGTAGTCATCGTAAACTTCTTCAATAGTAGGAACGCCAGCATGCCACTCATCTTGTTCAAGTGGATAGTCCGTTTGTCTCAATCGTACATCCCACGTTTTATCGTCATCAGCAACTAGTCCTTTGTTCTTTTGCTTCTTCTTTCGGTCTAAATCAGATTTGCCTTCACTTTCCCCCGGTTTACAGGGCTTGTATGCAGTTATTGTCATCTGTTTCAAAGAGCGTTTTGTCTCACGTGAGTACTCACGATTTGTTTTGGGCAGCTCATACGTAATACATTCATCTGACTCAGACGAAGGCCTGTGACGTCTCTCCTTCGTAAAGGTTATTTCTAGCAGTTTTTCTTTGCTCTTCATTAGACGTGTCTTCTCCGAGGAGTCGACACTACCCGACGATTCACTTCCGTGAACCTGACGTGGCTTACGCTCGCGTGCCTGACGCTTTTCATGCGCTTCGCGCGCAGAAAAGATGTCATAAGCTTTCGAAGTGCGCTGTTTTCCCTTATCTTCGCTCTCGTTTTTACGACGGGTTTTGCTGCGCGAGCGATCGCCACTTCTTTCAATATCAACAAGTGTGCGTCCATTCTTCGGTACATCGACTGTCAAACGCTCTTTGTTCTTAGAGTGCCCTGTACTGCCATGTTTATATGATTTTGGTGTGGCATGTGAACCGGTGGGATGGTAGAAATCTTCTGTATTTAAGTCACTCACACGCCTGCCATAGATAACTTTTTCCTTCGGTTTGGCTGGCTGACACTCACTATAGGCTGGACAAGGCGGCAAACACGGTATGCATGGCTGGCAAGGCCGACATGGCTGGCAGGGTTGATATGATGGCACACATGGCGAACAGGGTACACAAGATTGATTTGTCGCCGGCACTACACATTTATTCTGCGACGGATAATTATAGTGGTATTCATCTCGACAGTAGTTATACTCATTACATGGCGTAAGCGCCTTCTCCACATAGGTACTTTTATTACATAACATGCCATTGTAATTGCCGACGCTTTTGTAGCGTTCGCAAGTTTTCGTGCAATTACAATCATTGCAACCGCCAGCGCAACGACAATTCTGCAAGTGATAAACATTCACAGCGTTTTTACCATCGCCCGTGCCTCCATAGTCGAAGGCATAGCAATTGGGCGGTGCCGTATCGAGTAATCCCTTTGTCTTTAAACTGTCCAGATTGGTGGCCGAGTAATGTATAGCTGCGTTGAGTTTGGTCTTAATATTTTGCAAATTTTCCTCAACCGCGCTGCGTTGCGTTTCCTTCTGCAGGCCAATTGTGCGCATGCGCGGCCGACACGAGGTTTGCTCGTCACGCGCGTAACGCGGTGATGTGCACACGAATTTATGCTGGCTCGAGAATTTTTCAATCGTAAACTCGATATTATTGGCTAGCTGTGTCTCCAAATCCTTCAGTTTGTCCCACGATTCGATATTCGCGTGTAGATCGTTTTGTATGGCAGCGTTGCGCATCAACGGATGTGGACGCGATCTGAACATTAGTTTGTCCCTTTCCCGTTTCAGTTTCGTAATTTCATTATCAATTTCATGCGCCAAACGCTTCAACTGCACCGAAGTGCGGTTGACTGCGCGTTCCAGGTGCGATTTGTCACGGCAAGTCGTCAATAAGGCGCCACTCTCCGGCGAATTACCAAATGTTTCGGTGGTGGTGTTGCGCTCCGATGCTGTTTCTGGTATATGTGTTGTTGTGAAGGCGTTGCGCTTTGTTCGTTGTTTCTGCTGCTTGCGCGCTTCCTTCGCATTCGGGTGTGGAAATCGTTCTCGTAATACGGTCTTATGTCGTTTAATATAACCGTTGTGACTGCGTTCGGTTGTATAGCTTTCCTTGCGCTCAAGTTCTATGCTGTCCCCTGAAAGAGCGCACGTACTTGTCTATATAATGCAAAATCTGAATTTCTTAAATATATGTGACAGCTTACCCCTATCTTTTAGTTCCTGATACCGAAATCCCATCAACAAATGCTGATAACTTGTTTTTGTTTTTGATATCGAAAAAAATTTTTACAAATAAACGCTAGATATTTGAATAATTTCGTTAAATTTCAACAATTGTCTGCTTGCCAATAAAAATATAACAAATGGAAAATGTTTGATTAATAAATAATTTTTTGCTCTGATCGTTTCGAACCGAAAATGTTTAATAAGAAAAACAGCTGCTTAATAAATGTTACCAGGTTTAATAAAACTAGGTTGCAGTTCGATTAATTCTCAGTGTTGAAAACAAGTATCTGCTTGGTTGGACAGTTTCTTGAAAATAAGTGGATTACATTATAAAAAAATATCCAAAATTACTACAAGATAAATTGAGTCTAACTAACATTATTTTATTTATTTTCTGGAAATCTCAGTTGAATGGGAAAAGTATCGCCCACATCATCATAATTGTGTTTTTTTTACTTCTGTAAATGTGTGGAAGCTTTTTTGCGTCGCATCGGCCCAATAACTCGGTATATTAGAACCCTGTGACTGTTTTGTCCATCTCCAGGTAGACGAACTAGATCACCCTTTATGCATCCCGAAAAATTATTATCATCACTTTTCGTTCGATGGGACAATTTACGCCTCTTTAGAATTTGCGTTGCGAGGTGAAATCCTTTCTTTCGACCGTTTTCGGCGCACCTGCGCCGGACTCATCGAAAACCGACGTGCAACAGGTTGATCTGCATAAATTCAATTTTCGACGTACGCCATGGAAGATGAAGTATCCACTAATACACGTTATACTAACGCTCTTTGATTTTACTGCGTGATTGTTCTTTCAAAAGCAAGAATTGAATCACCGACCGATATCACTCTTTATCCGTATTTTTTAAAATACGAATCTGATTCGGCTGATATTTTGGCAGTAACCGCGTACTAGATTATACTTGACGATTTCTTTTGAACTATTAGGCGGTGAGGCTAGGTGCTGAACCGACAGCTCTCGTTCAACTTAGAACGCCTGTTAAGATTTTATTGTGAAGTTTCTATCGTCATTTTTTCTAGACAGGTTTCAGTGTGATATTCGAGATCAATATTTTGAGATATGCAAACTGCACTCGATGTTTCAGATGGCGTTACCTTATAAAAATTGTTTTTGTGATATTTTCCTTTAACTTATGGTTCGTATCTTGCATGTTTTACGATAAGTAGAGAGACCTGTAAGTCTTTGACTGTTTTAATGACTGTTAAATTCGTCTAAGAAATGCACTCGGAAGTTTTACAATATTTGCCTGTGGACAATAACTTCTGAAAATTAAATTCTATAATTTTAAATGCGAGACAATCGATTCTACGTAACTGGAGCAAACACGATTTTTTATCCGTTCAAGGACTGTCAACTTGGCAGTATCACTAAAAATTGTATGTGGAATGTTTTCTGCCGCTGCTACAACACGAACTATCAAATCAAGAAAATGTATAATCCAAACTCCAAAACTGAAACAACAACAATAACCACTGATGATAGTAGTTTTAAACACGTTTTACGGTAGCATTTTATTGAATCCAGAATTCAGTAAAGAGATTCTAAAAAAATACGATACATTTATAAATATAAAATAATTCACAGTTAATACATTACATACATACATACAATAGAATGCAGTTCATATACATAATATAATTCTTGTTTCTAATACTTTTCGCTTAACGCTGCCCAATTGGGCGGGACCTATTTAAGGTATGCATCGCGCACAAGCATATCTGAGTAAATATAGTAGTCAATATGTTATGTGATGTGTGTTGCTCAAGTACCTTTTCGTTATCATTAATATACTTGTACATACAAGTACATATATGTATTTTGCATATGTAATTTTCGTCTTCTTCATTTGCTCGCCATACCACTTAATGTTGAAATTAATCTTTAGCTTAAAGCTTCCTCAACTACTCATACAATTACTATGTTTCTTAACTGCTAATAGCTGCTAGCTATCAGGAAGAGCAACACTGAGCGAATTGAGAAGTTACTCTCATAAAGAACGAAATAACGATAAAGCAAAGAAACGAAAAACTAGCAGAACTAACAGTACCGTAAGCATACTAGCAGGAATTAGCACGAAACTATCAAAATGTTGTTTTTCTATAATCACATCACACTATCAATACTTGAAGATTAATCAATTGAATTTTTATTTTCACAATTCGAAACTATTAAAATAAACAAGACCGAAACAAATTCCACAAATCTCGCTTGTATGGTATGTGTTTTAACAGCTGTTTCTTCATATGGTTGTAGCAGCTCTCTTAACTTTTTACGCTTTCAATTTGTGCTCTCTTTCGCTAGTTGCTGCTAGTTTTTTTGTGTTAAGAAACGCTAGCTAGTGATAGTTAGCAGTTATGAAACAAACTTAATGTGTATTTGTTTGCTGGTACAAATCAGCTGTTCCTTAATTAAATCAAATTACTGTTTTCAGGAGTGAAGTATGTTATGGTATATGTTTGGCCTCTTCAACTTAAGTTCTTCAGAAATCATTGTACAACACTATTTTTTTTTTGTTAGTTTTCGAAAATATTTATCTCTCTTTTTTATTCAGAGTTGTCTAGAAGCTTTTTTACTTTTAAAGCCAAAATATAATTATTTTGCGTCGTTTTCGCGAAAAAATATATTTTGATTTCTATTTCGAGCTCGAATGTGAACGCTAAAAGCGTTAAGAAAATCTTAGGTAACGACGTAACTTAAAAATCGAAACCAACCATTGCCATTGGAATCAAACAATCTGTGCTTCTATGCTTTTTTACAGTGTCGTTTTGAAAATCTTCCGTCACAATCAGCTAAAACTCGGCGCCTACAACAGTCTAACCCTAAGCTAATATTTCCTAAATATGCCTTATGTGCTTCCGATGCCATCCTATCTTACTTGAGAAGGTCTTTGTAAAATAAATCTTCATTGGGATCTCTCGAGATTGGGTTCTATAGTTTTAAACTGACTTTTCCGTAAGCATACTTGCAAAAGAACCCTACAACTTTATCGATTATGCTCGAGTTCTTGATCCAATTTTCGTTTTTGAAAGTAATACTTGATAGACTCCGTCAAACAAAATTGTGTTTTTAAGTTTGAAACCGACTTTTCCGTGAGAATGCATGCAAAAATAAATCAATACCTGTATTTACTTTGTACAAGGTCTTGGTCTAATTTTCGTTTTTTGAAGGGTTGGTAGCTGCCGACAACCAGAAAGAATCATTTATCTTCTCGATCACAGGCCCAGTTTAATGCGTGTTCTTTAACTAAATTGGGTTACAAGTATTGTATAGTATCTGAAGTGGTTACGAGTAAGCACCCAGCTGTCTAAATTTTTACACGGATATTTATATACAAATTATCGATAGTATTTCTTTCAATACTCTTCAAATACAGAAAATGCAGCTTATGAAGAACAATGACAAATGTACATTAACACAAATATTATTTCATACCGATATGCCTTAGCTGGGCAGCCAAATCAAGAAGTCTCCAAAACTCTTAGTATAATATCATCATAATACATTAATTCTTTCAATATATAAGAGCTTTTGTCTGGTAATACAACCCTTCGTGTGTGTACTCATACTCACTTCACTCAAGTATTTTGTAGATAATTATGTTTTGTGTGTCAGCGTGTGCAAACGTTGTTACTCGCAAAATGTTAAGCATATTTTTTTAATTTTCTTCTATAATAAAAATTTGTAAATATGCGAATGCTTAAAAGTTTCAAGTGAAGCGGCAAATAAAAAAAAGCGGGCACGATGCGATTTGCTTAAATTGTTGCCTAACTTTAGGCGCCCATATATATGCTGAGACGACTGTACCCTGCGTGCTGCCAATAGTTGCACAATTATATTTATGACCGTTAATATTATATATATCGTTTTTATACATATTTTTCCAACAGTTAAGCAGTTATAGTCGTGTTTTACATATTTTCAATTTTAGTTGCTTGTATTGTATTGCTGCTTGGCGCACTGCGCATACTTTTTTAAGCAATGCTTATTTTTGCTCTGTATATATTCTTTTTTAATATTTTTTTTACTTGTATGTATGTATATATAAGTTTTATATATTTTATAGACATATTATTGTGTATTTGCTTTATAATTTTTACATCAATTGCTTTGATTTTCTCTGGTTTTGCTTTATTTGTATTTGTATTTGTATTTATTTTGGTGGTTAAATTGCAAGTTTAGTAATTTATTGCACAATTTTAAAATAGTTTTCCGCAGTTCAAGCGAACTTTTACCAAAAAAAAAAATTAATAATTAATGACGGAAACGTTAACAAATTTTTAATATTAATGTAAAAAAAATTTTAATTAGTTAAAAAAAAAATTTTTAATTTATATTAAAAAAATTTAATGATGGGAAAAACATTTTAAATAAATTTATTAAACAAAACTAATTTATTAAAAAACAATAGTTTATTAAAAAAATCATTAATTAAAAAATAATAGTTTATTAAAAAAATAATTGATTAAAAAAAAATATTTATTAAAAAAAAATTATTTATTGAAAAAAATTTACTTTAAAACATTCAAAAAATTGTTTGAAAAATTTATTTATTCAAAAAAAAATTTTTTATTAAAAAAAATTATTAATTTTTAAAATTAATGTAAACAAAATTTAATTAATATAAAAAAAAATTTTAATTTATTTAAAAAAAATTTTATGATTAAAAAAACATTTTAAATTAATTGATTAAAAAAAACTAATTTATTAAAAAATAATTATTTATTACAAAAAATAATTAATTAAAAATAATAACTTATTAAAAAAATTATTTATCAAAGAAAATAATTTGTTTATTAAAAAAAAATTATTTTTAAACATATTCAAAAATTTATTTATTTAAAAAAAAATTTATTTTTGAACATATTCAAAAATTTATTTATTTAAAAAAAGATATTTATTTAAAAAAAGATATTTATTTAAAAAAAGATATTTATTTAAAAAAAGATATTTATTTAAAAAAAAAATTATTTATTTAAAAAAATATTATTTATTTTTATTATTTAAAAAAAAATTAATTATTTAAAAAAAATTAAAAAAATGTAATATATTTGAAAGGAAAAATAGCTGATTAAAAAAATAGTTTCGCATTTAACTATGCAACAAGCAATTATTACTGCTATTTCATATAAATGAACACAGAAACAATACCTTATGCGTCCGCTATACATATATAAGCGACTAAGCACTATATATCAGCGGCAATTTCCAACGTCTGCAATAACTTATTACTTATATTTGTTTAGCAACAGCAAAAGCAAACTAAGTTTTCAAATACTGTAGCTCAAATTTTCATATTGTTTATCCAAATTAATTAGCTGCTTAATACTGACATTTGTATAGCAACAACAAACCTAATTATTCCGTTTTCATACAACACAGCCACAAACCAACACTGTGCGCATGCGTTCTCTACCAAATACCTGTTACTAAAAAAGCAGTGCTTTTATACATTTAAGACTTCATAGTGCATCTTTTATGCTCAAATTTCTTGAATAAACATTATATGACGCACTATAATCCGAAAAGCGCTTAAACAGTGTTTACACGCGACAAATGTTGTTTTTTTTTTGTTTGTTTTTTGTTTCTCATTTAATAGCGACCCAAAAATATTTCTTATGTTTTTTATATTTTTATTTTCATATTTATTTAAGCAACTCGTATTTGTTGATTATTTTTATGGCAAATATATTACTTTATTTTTTTTTTCGTGTGTTTGGACTGTTTTATTGAACTTTTTCGAGAAGCACGCTTACAATATTAGCGCTTCAATTATTTTGTTTTATATATTGCATGTACATATAATATATGTGTTAATGTATATATCGCATAATTTGTAATGTAGTATGTGTAATATTTTGTTGTTTCACAATTACTTTAATTTATCACTAAATACTAATAATAATATAATAATAATAATAATAAAAATAGCGAATTGCTTTAAATGGGCGTTGAACGTTCGCTGACAGCCACATGTGTCACAATCATATATAACAATGAAAATAATAATATTATAATATACATGCAGCCACTCCATTATGCAGCGCGCACGCAAATGAAGTTCGTTGAGAATTTTTCATATTGCATAAAATAAATATAAAAATATTTTATTCGAATTCTATGCAAAACTTTCAAATTCTTTGCAAAATTTTCAAATTTTATGCTAAATTTTCATACATTCTAAATATAAATACATATAAATGTGTTTTATGTGACCACCATTTGTAAAATTACAATTCCCCTCTGTTCACATATTTGCACACATTTTCATTCGCTGCACCCCCCACCCACCAAGTGATTCATCTATTGTATCTATGCACTTCTTTGCTCTTCTCTACTCTCTTTTTTGCTTTTCAGCGCCCCCAAATGTGTGTTCATCTTGCTGCTTAACCATTTCTAATTAATTAACATTCAACTTTTAGGGTTGCACAAATAAGATTTCCCGCAGAAAAACGATAAGAAAAAATTATTACAATACAAAAGAAAGTTTAAAATAAATATTCGTTCTGTTTCTGGTGAGATGTTGCTTTTTTTTCGTCAACACCAGCGTTGTCGTTCGCTTTTTGCTAACAAAAATTTACTGCTTCTTGTGTCTGGTAGAAGTAGCTGTTGTTGTTGGGTTTGTAGATTTTGTTGTCGTCACACTTGAGGTTGTGCTTTCCCTACGAGCGCTAGACAGTGCGCTGCTGTTACGGTTATTTGCGGCGCTGCCACTTTTAGCCGGCGCTGTTGTCATAGTGGACTTTTCTTCAACTAAAAGGTGAAAAGAATGAGCCCAAAATATATATACATTTTTTCTTCATAGCGGTATATTGCATAAACGTTTAATTACCATTTTTCTTACGATTATCACGTAACACGCTATTACTGTTATCACGTTCCTTCTTAGCTGCAACAGTATCACTAGAACCACCAGCTGTTTCGTCGCCATGCTCGTCAATTGTTTGCATAACATTCACTCCAGTTGTTGCGCTGGTTAGATTAGTTGTGGCAGCCATTGCGGGTGCAGCCTCTTCCTCCGATTCATGTGTACTAGTGGGCGAATCCTTTTCCTCGGCAATGCGTGGCAACATCTCACCCGGTGCTGGCAAAGCAATATTTGTGGGCGTACTAACCGTTAGTGGTGACTGTTCCGACATATTTAACGTACTACTACTCGACATTTGAGATTCGTTTGTGGCATCTGCAATCGTTGCTGCACCGTTACCGTTATTATTATTATTATTATTATTGTTATTATTCATGTTGGCACCACCACCGATGCATGTAAAACTTTGTTGCATGGTATTTATTGGTGGCAGTGTGGTAACTGCATTAGACGACGTACCGGCACCACCACTGACACCTACACTGCTGCCAGTGCCGGTGCTGGGTCGCCAAACGCCGCCAATAACACGCTGTTGTGTCTGCTTGATTGGTGGCGAGCAACAAAGCGGTGAAATGAGTGTACATTTTGCCTCAGCGCTGCGTGGATGTAGACGATCGGGTGAGAGCGCACGCCGCAGCAATGGTGAACTGGGTTCGCCGCTTTTGGTGCGCACGAAGCCGCTTTTCTTCGAACCGCTTGCCATGGTTTGCACAGTGGGCAACGAACTGCCAGGACTGTATGACTGCGTAGTATTCGAAGCGCCTGGCTGATGCCCAACAAGGGGAAATGCGAGTGGCGACGGTGAACGTGTGGGTGATGCTGGTAGCGGTGAGGGCGATGGTGTACGTGCCAGTGGCGAAAGTGGTATATGACCAACTGATTTGCGGCGATTTGGTGGTAAAGCACCAGTGGCGCTGGTGTGTAGCGATTTGACTACACCGGCACCACTACCAGCAGTAGGGCACACGACAACAGCGTTATTGCCACCGCAACCGGCTGTATGCAATTTGTGCTTCAGGCCATGCAATGTCGATGGCCGTTGATACAGTTGTGGCACCGATGTGGGTGATACTGTAATGAAATATGTAAATTATATTGTTGTGAATTAATGCGTTTATTGTTTATGTTACCTGGTATATTACCACCAATAGCGCCACTGGGCACTGTAGCTACTGTACCGCTTGCACCATGTGTCATTAGCACACCCGTTCCACTTGTTGAAATCGTCAGGCCTGAAGCTTTCGTTGGCGTACTGGCGAAGGTTGGTTGC